AAAAGCTATTGAAATGTAAGTATTGTCCTTTCCATGTAGGCTTTCGATAAATTGACTTTTGAAGACTACCGTCTTCTAGGCTTTCCATGGCAATGTCGAGGAAGTGAAACTTTCCGTCACTTTCATGTTCCATAGTAAACTCAATATTGCTGTGTGCATCATTGAATAATCCGAGTAAGTGTGAAGCATGACTTTCATTGTTGCACACTATAAATACGTCATCAACATATCGACAGTAGGAATTTGTTTCGTCGATTGCAATAATGTCTACTTTTCATTTGTAACCTTTTCAATGATATTATTATTTTTTTTCTCTTGAGTTCCGATTGGAACCTAGGGTTTCAACACCACACCGCCACTTTGTTCTCCGTAGTCCTGTACAGTCTGCGCCACGACTGCCTACACGATCTTCCCTTATCATTTTCGGACCCATGTCAAACTCATAGTTTCCATTCGGATTCTACTTGGGGGCTTGACATGTGATGTCACTCAACGGTCCCTTCAGTGTGAGTTCAACCCATCGCTTTGCACGATAGATTGGTAGAATCATAATGACAGTTTAAGATTAATTTCCACTGAACTGGAAAAAAGGTTGGATTTCCGTTGTCTAGATAAATAGAAGTTTTTCTTATTCCTTTGTGTTCCCAGTGGAACAAATGGTGGCTTGAAGTTTCGTTAGCAGTTGTGTTTATTTTTACCGGATGGGGTTGCAAGCCTCATGCCCAACCTTCCCTCTTTACCAGTCTTATTACTGGCTTAGCGAGGCAAAGGAGTGAGTGACTGGAGAGCATTCTACCGCTGTGCCACCAACGCAAATGAATAGAAGTGCTGAAGCCTTTTTCTGAAGCATGAGAAATAATCCCTTCCCGATATCGTATTTATATCTGATGGTACCTGATAGAAAAAAAATCTTGGTAGACACGACTGGAATAGGGAAAGGCTCGTATATACGAACATTTGAATGGATAAACAACTGTTTGTTCAGACACATTTCCTGTGATCCTTAACGAATACAGTCACTTCTACTAGGCTACCGATGCCGTAAGAATACACACTCACTCTCAAAAGGATTTATATGTATGATGTAAATGTTTAGAATTTAAGGACAACTATCATAAAAAAATTAATCAATATGTATGACGTTTCACTCCATCTAGAGTGGTTAAGTAAAGGGCAAACAAAAAACCCTTCATAGCTCTATTTTATCTCATCTTGTGGATAGAGAACACAAGATTGATGTTAACAAGGCGTCTACCGCATACCAACTAATCTTAACTTCACCTTAATAGGCTGTTGGGATCTACATTAAGAAATCTAACTTATGTATCCAAAAGAAGTTGGTTCAGACACTGTCCTTACCCTCCTGGCCATCAAGGTTTTAAGGATCCTCAATTTGCTGTGGAAATTTCCTTAATTTTATTTGATATTCTATTTACTATTACATATTTATGCTTAATAAAACTTAAGCTGCTTTCTTCAACTGTAATTTTATCGATCTTACTTAACAAATCAATAGTATTTAAAAATACTAATATTGCTAATGACAATCACTCTAGAACACTCTACGTATATAAACTATATATATATATATATATATATATATATATATATATATATATATATATATATATATAATCGTTGAGCCAGGAGAGGAAATTATCGTAAAGGATGTTTCTTTCTTCAATGTTTTTTCTAAATACCTGGATGAATATTTTCACTATATTGAAATCTCATATTTGATGATGATAACAGGAAGACAAACAGACTTGTAATTGCTATATTAATAAATGTAATCAACATGAGAGAGAAGACAGATCAGTTTATTGATTTCCTTCTTTTCATTCTTTTATTACAGGTAGTATAAATTCTTATGATCTTTATCTAGACATGTTCAGTTTCGTTTCACATGCTACAGTGACTACTACTACTACTGCTAAAACAAGGGTAATGTGTATACGAATAAAACGAATAGTCATCACAGTGGAAAAAAGACAGTCAGTTCGCCATGCAACGTATACCACAGGAAACATATAAGTTGTGTGAGGAGAAGAAAACCTAAAGCACATTTATTTCAACTACGAATATCAAGCATACTTAGGCTTTTTATTGGTATCGTATTGCCATAAGTATTTCTATTAAAACCATCGAATCAATCATATCAGCCATAGTTAGGCAGCGTCTAGCGTAAGTGTCCACAATGGAACACAGAAGACTTTGATATCATATGCATTAAATAAATAATTAAACAGCTGTTAATATTATTGCTAAATGTCAGTTTGTCATGTCGCTGTGATAGTTTTTTATCGTTTTCTATACCAAGAGATATTTATCCGATGAAATAAAGATAGTTAAGAGAATCGCTCCTTATACTTAATCTTCACGCAGAAATATATATGCAAGACATAACCACTTCATACAGTTTTACATGCTAGTCTGTATATTGTGCCTATGATTTGACGTCTGGTAAAAATACAGTTTAATACACGGATGAATAACAGTGAATGAACAATGAAAATACAAATCAGTAGGTGAAAGTCAATTGCCAAAGGCACAAGACATCTACAACGGAGCTCATAAAGAAACAAACTTTGTTAGTAGAAAGACTGTGGAAATATGTAGTGATATTATTTGTTGGTGTTGCCATTTGATTGCAATTGTTGATTTCAACTTTATTATTCCCTTAGGTTCCAAGTGAAAGACAGAACTTCAGGAGCACATCCCCATATCATTCTGTTCTCTAGAGTATTTTTCAGCTGGCTCCACGACTGCCTACAATTTTTCATTTTCTCCTTGCATGAATCCCTCCATGCTACCCTCGGACGCCTAATTCATCGTTTCCCATTCGTGTTCCATCCAATGGATTGACGCATGATGTTACTAAAAGGTCTCTTCCGTTTATGCTGGATGGCATCTCCACTTTCTTACGCATATTTGTCGGTCAACAGATTTTTGATTGGTTCCTTGATGTGTATCATTTCTGGCCAGCTGTCCATTATTTTCACGTGAATATATTAACTGATGTAAGCTTGCAGTAACCTGTTGAAAATACTTGAGGTAACGAAAGCGCAAAGTCTCTGAACCATACAGAAGCATTGACTTGACATTAGTGTTAGAAATTCTATTTCTATTCCTTCTCCGAACGAATATAACAGTAATGCACCACTGTCTTGTTTTTATGATATTGACTGTCTTTGACATTGTCATTCGTGCCGTCTGTAATTCAGATGATACTGTTCAGGTAAGTGAAAGGGACAACTGTGGATTTCTCCCAATGACGGTGGTTGTTGCTTAATGATGACTGTCGGCTATCTTCATCACCAGTGTCTTCTCTGCCTGTACTACCAACCTGATTTTCACTTGTAAATTTTCGAGTTTGTGTGACACGAGATATCTTCGAAGTACAGATCTTCAAGGGTGTATTTGTCAGTCCAGCATACACGCATCCTAACACCCTTATGGTCCACAACATCATTCCAGTCCACTATAACCAGGAATGTCATCGTTGGTAGTAGGCAGTCTTGTCTTGCTCCTATCTCCATTTCAAAGGCTTCACTGAGTTATCCTATTGTGAATCGGTTGGTATGTTTAATTTTAATTTTTTTAAAGAATGTTTTGATTGCAGCTTGATTTCATACCGTATTTTCGGTACAGGTATGGGATATTCAGCATGTGATATCGGTAGCCCAAATTTTGCGGGCCGACCATAGATATATATTTTTATATTTTGATTACAGCTTAATGCCACACCGTATTTTCAGTACAAGTATGGCATTTTCAGCATGGATATCGGTAGCCCAAATTTTGCAGGCCGACCATAGATATCGAGTGTGCTTCGGCAGGCGATTGAACCCCGGACCAAGTGCATGGTCAGCGAGAGTCCTAACCGCTGTGCTCTCTCCTTCCACACTACTACGTTTCTACCCGCTATGACACTGATATTAACCTAACCTACTACCGATTTTAGTTGTGCTCTACTCAATCTTTTCAATTATCTTACGTCACTCAATCTACTTGTACAACATTATTTACCAATTAACATCTACAGCACAATAGATTAATGTCCTACTATTTATTCCTTCGATGTAAAGGAGTTTTATGTAAACATTTTTCGTTGGGACGAAATGAAATGTAGGATTTGAAACTAGCTGTCCACCACAGCGGTTTAAAATCATCAAAGGACATCAGTTCTCGACAAGAAGTGTGTATCCGTCAATATTATATATTGTTAACATCTATCGCATCAGCTTTACAAATACGGTGAATTCTCTTGAATTGAATAAACACTCAACCATACCTCTCTTAAATAAATTTAAATATTCCAGTGTTCAAGTAGGCTTTCTATAAATTGACTGCTTTATTGAGCCATCATACTCTCTACGACTCAAAAGTACGAACAGAAATGCAAATTAGTTGCAACTTTCTTTTTCACATGTAAGAATTACATGTGCATTGTACAGAGTTGAGTCTATCCAGTAGACGAATCACATCTTCTATTAAAAGGGCAGCTTAACAATAGAATAGCCACACAGATTTTCAACGTAAGACATATACACACATCAACCGATAATGGTCTTAATGGACTTTCTATAGCAACGCCATCCAATTGTAGAAAGTACTCACCCTCAAATGTGAAATGGACGTACGTAGTCAGTACATAATAATAATAATAATAAGTACTTCAAATAGACTAGAGGACTGGGGAATGATGACAACTATATATGTAATCACAAAGGATATCAACAGTCTCAAGACTGACATCAAAATGTCTTCCAAGATTATCTATAGAAACAATTGCGGGTGTTTACAAAATATGCAGAGGCTACAGGTATCCACAGAGTTAAGTATGTGGTATCATCATATAGTTAGTTATTGAATGAGGTTTATAAATATGTGCAGCACTGCACTCTTCAATGTTGACGTAATTTTCCAATAAAACATTGTGTATATAAAAATAATAGCATGCAAGAAAAATAATCATTTGATAAGAGAGATTAACTTACAACGACAAGGATTTGTATACCATGAAGCGTTTGTGTCTTCATTTAAATTCACAAGATGCAATTTATAAACTAGTGGATCTGGTGTAGATGATACGCCTAAACAGACAATAGGCAAATTTTGATCTGGACTGATGAGTAAATCAAAATTCAACAATGGGTTAGGCATATTTGGCACTTCAACCTGAATGGATTAGAAAGAAAAAAGCACTTAATTATATAGCTATTATATCATCATTCTTACTACTGAACGAAAGAAATTAAATAAACATTTTAATAGGAAAGGTACCGAAATGGAGTTTTCAGTACTTACTATATGACTGTGACCAGTGAGGTACAGCAGGTTGAAGGCGAGGCGGTAACTCATCGAAGAAGACATTGAGAAGTGGTCGGGCCATGTCATGAATTCGCAGAAGTTAGAATTCATGGGCTGGCCACTGGATCGGGTCCCACTGGCTTAACGGTCTACGAGCTAGCTCGCCTTGAAACCAGAAGGTCCTGGGTTCGAAACCCAGCGTGGGTGCGTACTGATGAAGAGTCCAGAACTAAGATAAAACAGCTTTCCAGTACTCCCAGGTTTTCTAATGGTTCTCTAACTGATGTCAGTTCATGATGAAACCCTCAAAACAATCAAAATTCTAATCATTAGCCAGCAAGCACCTAATATGGTATGTCAATGCTAAAGGTGGTTCAGTGGTCCGGGCTCGATTGCCAGCCAACGGACTTACTTTTACTTTACTTTACTTCGGCTATCTCCTACGGGAGGATGAGCCGGCTTCATGAACGAGAGTTCATGAAGTTTCATGGGAATTTGGTACGAGTGATGTCCCCAGAGTCGCTCGGCCTTTTGTTTGAGAGTGCAGCTCTAGCCTTTACACAACCAAGTGTGACCTACAAGGCAGTAGGAGTGGAGTAGGGAGTCCACTATCCATTGGCAGCCGGTGACCGGAGTTCGGTTCATACGCCTTTTTGAATGGGGCCAGACATCCAGGACATCCAACAAGCCCTTTGTCCATACGTCTGCCGGTGAGCTCCACTGAGCTTCATACGCCAGTCGTTGGAGGTTTGGAATCAGGGTTTAGCCATCTCCTCTAGACTGTCATCCAATGGACAGTCAACCCGGTGAAGAGCGCCGGGCATCCGCCTTCGCCCTCTCACTTTGGTGAAAAACACCTCCGCCACGTGAAGGCAGTAAGTAGGACTTCCTCAGGAGAGGCTATGTAAGACGCCTGGTCATATGGGAGCATTTCAAGAGGTGTGCGGAGGGGTGGCCAACCCGCAGCGCAAGGCACCCACCCCCGACCATCCTGAGGCTTTGGAGGCCAACGGACACGCTCCTCAATCTCTTTTAGCCCGTGATAAGCCCAGTAAAGAGGGAAAGTTGGGTGTGAGATTAGTAACCTCATCTCGTGAAAAAAAGCCACCACAACTGAAACTTCAAAGCTCAAGCTTGGAGACCTTATTTTCCATATGGAATGCAGAGGAATTTTTTCAAAAAAGATACCAAAGGGGGTTTACAGTTCTCGGTGCATACTCAGATGCTTCAGTTTTCTGAAGGGTGTACACATAAACTGATGACAGATAACAACGACCATAAGAATCATACTCAAGGCTACAAAATGACTGTCAATTTCTTTTTGTCTACCCTCCTCCTCTGTTTATTCATGTCAATACTTTTATTACCGCGATGAAACAATAAAGAATTGAATTGAAAAGCACAGGCATGCCTAATAATCATCGCTTTATTCCATTCTCAGCCTATGCGCGATTAGATTGAAATAATGATAGTAAACAAATCATAAGATTTTGCTTTATTATTTGTTGATTTAACAGACAACGTTGTATTTGTTGGGGCTGCATAAAGAAGAAGTAGGCACGTATTAAATACTTTACAACAACAGCTGACCAGGAATGTATCGAATTCCTATCATCATTGCGATTGCATTAAAAAAAATTAATTGTAAACAAAATAACACTATAGATGTAAAAGTACAAAATAATTAAGCAGACATATAGAAAAAAAAACCCTAAAATGTCGATTAACCTAATACTACCTACCATATAGTGATTATTCCAAATAAACAGCTTATTGAATGCTAAGACATGATTAGCTACTGTGCATCCTGAATCATAATCATAACACTCTAGCCGATGACTATAACAGATCAATACAGCATCCATCTGTTAAGGACAGTGAAAACTTGGAAACTGACTCGGAGGTTTTCTTTTCTTGGATAAATTATCATATGAAAGCGCGTTTTAAGTCAAATGAATAATACAGATTGTTGTCAAAAAAACTGCTATGTGGTTGCAACGAATTAACCTTAAACACAGATAAAACGAAAAATAGCCCCACCCCCTCATGTTTACAATTAATTATTTTTAAGAGTTTGTACAAGTAGTACAAGATGCCAGTGAGTAGTGTTCAGATAGGATTATAAGCTAATAGGTAAGCACTAGGTAAATATACTCGCCTGTGGAAAATGATAGGTGTAAGCCTTCGAGTAGAACTCGAAAGGGAAACGGCGAGTTGGTCGTCAGTGCAAGGGTGACTTGGAAGAGGTCATGTGAAGAGGAGATGAAAACGTGTGGACAGACATGGAGCCAGGTGAAGACTAGCAGAGAACCGAACGTAATGGAGACGCACGGCTGAAGCCCTATGTTCCTCTAGGAATTAAAGAATACAATAATAATAATAAGGATTTCCTATGTGTAAACGAGTTTAGAAAGAGGATGAAAGACATCAATTAGTCGCAGTATTATAAAATGACTTAGGTTTACGTTTATATAACGTCAAACACAAAAAGTGCTATAGGTTGAGGAAATGGAATGACATGTATGAAAACCTATTACAATCAACCACTTTTCTTTATTCCTTCTGTTCTGAGTGGAACGAACATAGGGCTTTAGGCTTTGAAGCCTCATTAGCGCTGCTGTTTTTTTGACGTGGTGGGCTTGCTAACCTGTTTTCTCAAGGGCGTGCTATCGGCTAAGTGACGTCTAGGAGTGTGTTGGCCGGAATTTGAACCTGAACTTTCAACATGGCTGGTAAGCACTATGCCAGCCAGCAAAAAACGCATTCAATCTTTATCTTGAGATCATAGGACTGAAGAAGAGATTAATCTCTAGCGCCTTTTCTTTTCCTTACTTATATTATTCTAGAAGGTAGTAAATTCAAAGCAATGACGTAAGCCTCAAGTTATTCATCTTCTAATCGCATTTAGATGACTATATCCAGTGACTCTCTCTTTTAACGATGCGTGCAATAAAAGGGCATAGGAAAAAAAATTCAAATTGACAGCATTTATAGATATGAGACTTACTCGTTTGACTTCAATAAATGTATTCCTTGGATTATACCATTCCATAACAAAAATACTTTTCGCTATAGCACCGCATAAATATTTCATTCCTTTGCATTGATTACGCACCACACTAGCTATGCAACATCCTCGTGTATCTGGAACCTTGACAGTTGGCTGAAAACGCCTTAAGGGTACAAAAGAAAAAAAATTTACACACGTGTATAACTATGCCATACTTTAAAATGGCTACAACTAAGAAAACTTTTATGATTTGAACATTACCAAGCTACAAACTATTAATAATAATCATCCGTCAACCAGTTACCAAAGGTAACACAGTGACAAACTTGCTACAGTCTGGGGGGCATCAAAATACACAACTCAATTACCTAATAGTTTTTGTATATATATCAGGCTATGGATCAGGCTTTGTCATTCACGAAATCAAATGCTTTAAAGAGTGAAGATGGAACTACTGGCTAAGTAAACATGAACATAAAGAAAAAAACAACACGAAATTGGGAAAGGAGATTGAACAGAACTTAATAAGACTTAAACAATAGCACTACTCTTTGAAGTACTTCGTTTCCTTTTCCACATAAAACTACAGTCATGGTAAAAAATTTATTAAGAACGACACACATGTGTATTACTATGACCTTTAATAAATTAGATATTACTTTCATTAGAGTGTAATTGGTGTGCGTCGGTGGGACGCTCGCCAACTATGCACCTGGCTCGGGGTTCGGTCCTCGACCGACGGACTCTAAAACCTTACTAAGCCGGTAGTAATCCCGGAAAGGAGGGAAGGTTGGATGTGAGGTTAGCAACTCCACCCCGTAAAAAGTGAAACTACTGCCATCGAAACTTCAAAGCTGTAGCTTGAAGCCGTATGTTCCACTGGGGACATGAAGGAATAAAGTAACAGGAAATAAATTGAGTGTAATTCAGTCTCTATAAATAATTATCCCTTAACAAGCATTTTCAACTAGTGATGCCGCTATGCTTAAATCCGTGTTATTCAAATTTTAACAACTTTTAAAAAATCTTTGTTGAAACAACAACGGAAACGTGTGTCTCAAAATGATAACAACATCAAATATCTTCTGTTGTGTATTTATCTAAGCTAAAGGGTCTACATACATCTGAATCTTATTCAGAATTCTACTACAATCATCAATAGTTAGGAAAAGTAATATTCTGTGTAAAGTATATGAATCATGTTGAGGTTAATCAAACGGGAATTATACTTAGATATGCTAGGGTTGTATCAATTATTGATATTTTATTTGGAAGAATGGATTTTACTGCACTGAATATTTTTGAAATCGAGTGTAAGAGAAAGAAGTGGGAAATTTGGTATCGGGTGTTGAATTACTTGTGAATCGGATCCAAAAAGCTCGAGCTGCTTTCGCTAACTTACACCATCTCTGGCGTAGGCGTGACATCCGGTTATCAATCAAGGGATGTGTGTACTGCTCAGCAGTTCGCTCCGTCTTTCTCTATGGCTCTGAAACATGACCAATACGAGTTGAAGACATGAAAAAGTTGACTGTTTTTGATCATAGATGTCTACGATCTCTTTCTCACGTTAGGTGGCATAATAAGGTAAGTAATGTCGACGTTAGGCGTAGAGTGTTGGGCAAAGAGGGAAAATCAATCGAAGAGGCTATAAAGTTACATAGATTGAGATGGCTAGGTTACGTGCTGCGCATGCCTAACCATCGCCTTCCCCGACGGGCATTACTAGCTGATACAGGTGCAGGCTGGAAAAGAGTAAGTGGTGGCCAAAAATAACATGGCCTCATCAATCCATGAAATCCCTGACAGTTAAACTGAGTCATGTAGGGAGAAGCAGACTTCCAGGTTGGGGCCCTCGGGACTCTAAGAATCAATGGCTGGAGACAATAGGTGACATGGCTCAAAATCGTTGTCAATGGCTTACGCAGATGTATTCAGTCTCTGTAATCTTTCATATTCCTTTCTACCATTACTCATTCTGTTTCACTCTTATACTTGTCAAAACTCTAATGATTCTCTTCACTCATTTTCTTGTCTACCTTTGTGTGCTATTGGAACGTGGCAACTCAAACTGCTGCACTTTGGTGCCAAGTTCTATGTTGAATCCAGACAGACAGTTTGTGATATGATGCATATTGTCTTATATTAATAGACTCCACATAGATCGAACTTTTGAAAACAATTAATCCACTGCTAATCATTTTGTTTCTAGATAAAATAAATGGGTAATTATTACGAAAACAAGTATACAATTCAACTAGAACTGTAGTGATTTAATTAGACTGGGCGGATGAATATTAATAAACTCGCATAACAAAGAAACTACCTCCACACACAAAAAAATAGCTGCTATATTCGATAAAAAAAGTACTTATCAATGACCGTATTAGAGATGATGCGTGAAACTACTACCAGGTAAGCCCAGTTTTTACACAATGAGGATAGTAAATTGATCTGAACATCTACAGTGCACATCAGTCCGTGTTTTCACAACATTTCCTCATGCTGTGTCAATGCTAGTCTAGCCTAGATCAGTTGTGTGGTTACTTCCACGACGGTAGTCAGTGTTATGTGCATTGATCTGAATGATGAAGCTTAGTCATGCAATATTCTAAGTTAAAAATACGATACATGATACAAATGATATTATGATAGAATAAAAGCACATGTATCCACAAATGAAATTACAACGGAATTTGTCTAATTTATGCTATTCCAAAGCAAGACACAGTTATGTAACTGTGTGTAATGTATAGAGGACAGAGAATATTGTGCATTTTGTTACATTGTATTTTGACAGGAAGATGTTCACTATAATAATAAGTATGCACAAATATACATTAGATGTATACAGATTTATAAACTGAATTTGACTTTCATTGCACGGTTTATGATAAATACTGTAAAAAACCAACCAACCAAACAAACAACAAACACAGCCAAAACATATTTTGGACTAGTTGAATGAAGAGAACTTTAATATAATGCATAAGTTAAAGATGATGTATGACAACGATAGCCATTAATTAAGAAGAATTTAACTTGTGTGTGAATTCTGTTATTCACCTAAAAGAATGGAAGAAAAAACGACAATAAAATTTTCAAGTGTTTGCTTGTGGCATAGAAATTTGCACCGATGTGCAGCAGTTCAAGTCGCCACACTCCCTTCATGTAGCACACAAAGCAGGAGAAGAAAGTAGAACAAATGCACATTAGAGACAGTAAACAGAGGTGTGAGACAAAGGAATAGTAATAAAGAAGAACAAAACAGTTTCATTGGAAATCATAAGTCACAAGGAGTGGATGCATCTGCGCCATCATCGAGAACGATTTTGAGCCATATCACCAATTGTTTCCAGCCACTGGTTTTCACCATCCTAGGGACCCCAACCAGTCAGGAAGTCTATACATTCCTACGTGACTGGCTTAAACTAACTGTTGTAGATTTCATTGACTCGTGCCATGTCTTGGCTTGACTACCGCTAGCTCTACTCCAGCCTGATCCTATGTCAACTAAAATTGCCCGTCGAGGAAGGCGATGACTAGGCATACGTAACACATGTCTTAACTATCTCAGTCGATGTAATTTCACAGCCTCGTCGATTGATTTTCCCTCCCTACCTAGAACTCGGTGCCTAACCTCAATATTGCTCACCTTATTATACCACTTTACACTGGACATGGAACGCAGGCACCTATGATCAAAGACAGCTAATCTTTTCATGTCTTCCACTCTCAATGGCCAGGTCTCACAGCCACAAAGGAGGACGGAGCGGACTGATGAGCAGTACACCCGCCCTTTGGTCGATAGCCGGATATCACGTCTATACCAGAGATGGGGTAAACTGGCATATGTGAAACCAGCCCTCTGTATCTGTGCTGAGATTTCGTCAGAGATCAACCCGTTGGGGCTAATAGTACTTCCCAAATAACTGAAGCGGTCAACGTGCTCTACCACCTCACTCCCTATTTGTAGCGCTTGTAGGCATTTTCTGGATATCAAGGTAGACTGCACCACGAATCTGCACCGGTTAGAAAACCACCACCGAGTAGCTGTCATATTCTGCTGTCTAACTCTTCATCTGTGAATACCTGTGACTTCTCCAGGCATCGAAACCAAACGTTCTGATTACTAGGCGACTGTGTTTACCTTTCAGCAAATGGATCAAAATTCGAGTTTTTTATACTACTAACTACAAGTTATAGTTAATAAAATGAAGGGATATGTTGGAAATGAGTGAAAACACCAAAAAAACACCCATTAAGAGCGCTTATACAATATGCGAATAATATTTAGCGCAGAAAAAAAAGTATTCTTCTCAACGAATAACTTCCCGATTATATATGTAATGATGATTTGTGTAGACTATATATATATATATATATTACAAATGCGGCTGACGTCCGGCTAAAATGTGTGAAAAAACAAAGATGAAAAAAATTCTGGGCATGACATTTATGGAACTTATTGCGTAAGAACTGTATTTAGATATTCAACAGGAAAAAAGCCTGTTCGGCTAATATACAAAATGTATGGGAGAAAATATTTAAGAAAAATAAAGGAATTTTCATAATACTTGTATACGAGGTATATACCCACTTTTATACCATTCTCCAGAATTTCCAAATGTTTCTGAATATATAATGAAATAGCAGGGAGTGATTTATAAAGTCTGAAACGGCTCTAGATTAAGACGTCAAGATCATAGATTAAGTATTATGGATTACAATAAGAAGTGATGCTAGGGTTACTCTAAACTATAGTAGCCCAAAACAAAACTACCTAATGAACGGATTAATGACTTTGACGAATTTATGTACAGAAATTGGCTTAACCTGACTATGAGGACTCGCTTGTGAGAAATTGGGTAGTTTTTTTGGAACATATACACAAATATTATCCTATGTAATCATTTTTTAAACACTGCATTACTTGTATTTAGATGTTTATTTCAAATTACGCGCTTCTACTTCGGACGCATCTGATTGGCTGCTACAGGTAGTTTCGTTTTGGGCTGCTATAGTTTAGAGTCACCGATTCGAGAATTGAGTACTTATAACCAATGGCTAGATACAGAAGAAAAACCGTGGATCGGACTCAATATTGGGAGAAGATACTGCGCTGTCAGGTTGGATAGTTCATTTCCAATATTGGTGGGTCGA